CCTAGTTCTCCAGCAGGGCAGTGCTGAGGGCTCAGGTCCCCACACCCATGTCCTCTCTCTCCTTCCCCAGCTCCTCCCTGCTGCCAGCTCAGAGTTCCCAGCTGTTCCCATCTCCTGGGCCTGGCTCCATCTCTCCTGGTGACCTATTTTGCGTGTGGCCCATGTCCCTCAGGGCGGGGGCAGTGGGATGTGTCATGTGTGTGACAAGTGGGAGGACCCCAGGCCTCTCTGCCCCCAGTGTTCCAGGCTTCTGAGTCCCACCTGGGATGGGAGGGGAGCAATAGAGAAGCTTGGAGGGCAGAGCAGGGCATGAATCCCTGGCTCGTTCTGGATGCGGTCTGCCCAAAGGTCCCACACTCCAAATCTATACCACGTCTGGCTCTCCTTGGGTGTCCCTGCGCTGGGCCCACAGTGGGTACAGGGAAGGAGTGGTCTGGGGGGCAAGGGCAGGGGAGGAAGTAAGACCAGGGCTGGGGACAGGAGGGTTACTGGAACGGAAGAGCAGGAGACAATGGGTCTGGGATCCCGGTGGAAGGTGGGGTCAGAGCCTGAAGCAGGAGCTGGGCAGGGAGAGAGAACAGGCCCAGGGGAAGCTCTTGGTTGTGGGGTTGTGGAGAGGCTAGTCCCTGTCCCCTTCACCGGGTCCTTAGAGTGTGGGCGCGCAGGCATACTTGTGCACGTATTAGACACGCAGGCGAGGGTGCATGCGTGCACCTTGGAGAGCGAAACCGGGAGGGGACAGGCTCAGGCAGTCAGGCGAGTGGACTGTGGTGTGGTCAGAATCCCTCCTGTCCTCTGTGAGGCTGCAGAACTCCAGACACTGACTCCGTCTGATGCCACAGCTGCCCAGACCCCTTCCTCTTTGAGACGTTGACCCCCACACCGGCACCCCGCACACAAGCTTCCTCTTCCCCATCGCCCTGGGCACTGAGGTTGTTGAGGGCCACTCCATGTCCTGTCTACGCCAGCCTGGGGCCCCAGCACCCAACTGCCCCCTCGGCCCTCTCCCAGCTGTCTGGCCTCCCCTCCCCCAACCTCGGTTTGGTGCCATCCTGCTCCCTGGCTGTATCTGGCCCTGGGATTCAGACCTTGCCGGTGATCAGAGTATGGAGTAGGAAGGCTGGCGCTTCCCTGGACACATAGAAACACCTAAGACCTAAGACCCCCCCCCACTTCACCCCACCCCACCCCACAGCAGGCAGCCTCTGTCTCAGGCAGCACTTCCGTAGCCCCAACAGGAAATGGGCTGGAGGCTCAGCCCCCCACCATCTCAAAGCCACTTCTTGTTTCCTTGTTGCCTTGTGCCAGCCCTGGGGTTGTGCCCCTTGGCTCCACCCCTAAAGCCTTCCCAGGGTTTCGTCCCAGCAGCTCTGAGGGGACAGGATGGTGGACAGGATTGCCAGGCTGACCAGGAGGCGGAGTCAGGCCCTGCGGGGACAGGTAGGGGGCCGTGGCATTTGGGGGCAAGCTCAGCCTCTGGTGGGGACGGCCAAGGGCCTCTGGATCAAGGTGCCACTAGTGGGCCTCTGTTCTCTGGCCCTCTCAGGAGCTGGCTGAGGGGAGCTTCGGAGCAGGACATCTCTCAGACTTCGGGGACTCCTCCCTGCTTTCCTCTTCCCTTTGCCAAGGCCTTCGCCTGCCTGGGAGGGGCTGCAGGGGGACTCTGAGAGATGATGATCAGCGCAGGGGGACAGGCAGGCCTGCCACCTGCTTGTGGGCAAGGGGAGGGCTGCGGGGCTGGGCAGCTGGATGTGGTGAGAGCCAAAGCCCCTCTTGCCGCTGAGGTAGGAGACCACTTCCCCTTTCCTACTGTTGTCCCCCGTGTCTCTGTTGTGATTGGGATCTGGGCCCCGAGAGCTGTTGGTGCCTAGTCAGGGCCCCACTGATGGGCTGTCACTGGGTGTTGCCTGGACCTCCAGGAGTCATGGGCAGGGTGGCAGGCCCTGCTCTAACCGGCACGAGCTTCCCCTTGAAGGCCAGAGGGCACAGAGGGACTGGCCCTGCCTGACTTCCAGTCTGATCCTGGCTTTCTCCTAGCACTGGAGGGGCTCTAACAGGGAGAAAGTTCTAGAGTTTGAAGGGGCCTCAGGGCCACTGCGTGTGGTCCAGCTCCCACCACAGGGCTGTAGCATCACTGACAGGGGGTTGGACTTTGCCTGCTCACGTCCAGTGAAAGCCCCTTCCTACCTCCTGAAGCAGCCTGTGTCTCTGGGGCAACCCCTCCCAGGGGCCCTGCCCTGCCCCCATTTGGCCTCTGGTCTGCAGCCTGGAGCCCCACAGTGCGATTCTGCATCTCCTCTTCCTCTGACAGCCCCCTCATGCTGAGAGCCTAAACATCCAGCTCCTAGCTCTCACCTCTACCCACTAGGGCTACTTTGTGTGAGATCCCCATCACCCTGGCCAGCCTGGGACTCCCCATGGACTCACAGGCAAGACCAGCAGCCTGCAGGTGGAAATCCGTGCTCCATAGAGCCTGGCTCCTTCCTCAGCTCATCTATGCCCCACATGACCTCCCAGCCCCTGTCCCAAGGAGGGGAGGGCACCTGCCTCAGCAGGTCCAGCTGGGGCAGGTGGGAAATGTGTCTGGTCACCCACCTTCCTCTGTCCACTGCCTCCATCCTGGTCTCCCAAAGAGACTCCTGTGTTGAACCCCCACTCCCAGGAAATCCTTGTCCAAAGCTAACTTGAGTCTCCTGTGGTGTCAGGTGTGTTTGTTTGTTTGCTGCTGAAATGTGGCTTGGAATTGGCTTTTGTCTTCAATCAGTAAGTACTTTTGGTGGATTGGCTGTGTGCTTCAGGGCATTGGGCCAGCAGCTAGAGGGCAACTGGGGTCAAGTACATCATCCTGGGTCCCCCTCTCAAAAAAAAAAAAAAAAAAAAACAGCCTTTGGGATCAGAGGAGGTAGGCAGATGAGTGGACAACTCAAGGCGGAATGCTGCCGGGCCCGAACAGAGGGATGAACTGCATGTCAGTGCGCCAGACGTCTCTCCTGAGGGAGAAGGCCTCTCCTGGAGGCTTGGAGCAGAGCACCAGCAGAGGAGCAGGATTTGGGTAGGCAGGTATGAGAGCAGAGAGTTCCAGGCTGAAGGACCCACTGGAGCAAAGGTGCAGAGATAGGAAGGTGGCTTTGTGTTTGGGGGAGGGTCCATGGGCCGGTGTGGGTGGAATATGGGATGGCTGCGGTGGACAGAGAGAAAGGAGAAGCGGGGTGGGGGGTTCCTGTCTCAGCCACACAAGTGCTTGCGGGGTGAGGGAGAGGAGTGAGGATCTGGTGTATCCAGCTCCTCCTGTTCCCTCCATGCCTGGGACCTGCCCCTGATGATCTAAAACTGTACCACTGCTTTTCTGACACTTTGTCTCCTGCTAGCAGTAACTACCACGGGCAACGTGCTGTGCTGTGCATTTCACTTCTCACCCTGCTCATCTCCCTCCCTGCTCCCTGACCATTTACCCAGGCTGCCCAGTAGGGATGTGGGTCCCTTTGTTCACTGCAGCGTTCCCCAGTGCCTAGAACAGTGCGTGCACCGGACAGGTGAATCTTTGTGGGACAAACGAGTGTGTTTTTAGGCGCCTTCCTAAGGCCCAGGGAGATGCCACCTTGACATGACCGGCTTCCCCTCTTGGGAAGTTTACAGCTTAGTGAAGGCATCACAGGCAGTTCTGTGATTAAAAAAGGCGGGGCAGGGAGGGGTGGTGATTGTACAAAATTTTGAGAAAAGTTTAAAGAAGAAAGAAAGAAAGAAAGAAAGAAAGAAAGAAAGAAAGAAAGAAAGAAAGAAAAGAAAGAAAGAAAGACCCCATCCATATAACTAAACTGCCCAGAGGAGATAACTATCTCTGTTAGCATTTTGGAGGGTTTCTAAAAACACAGATTTGAAACTATATACTGGCTCCCCATGTCGAAGTCTGCATTTCCCTTGTAGCACTAGATCTTCCTAGAAACAGTGTTAATCTTCTGGGGCTCTTCTGCTGCCTGGGGTTTAAGAGTGTCCTTATCTATCCCTCTGGCCAGCTAAGGGTGCTAGGCGGTGGTGGGCAGGCCAGAGGAATCTCAGGAAAGGTCTTGAACCTGACACCTGAGTCCTGAAGAAGGAATTGGAGTGGGCCAGGTGAAAAAAGGGGTGGGGATGGGCCTAGGCAGACTCTGAAGGAGCCAGGCCCATAAAAGATATACAGCAGGGAGGGTGGAGCCTCCAGCAGCCCCAGGCTCCTAGAGCATAAAGTTCAAGGCAGGGGGCCAGGAATGGCAGGACATAAAGAAGACAGAGAGGTGACAGGCCCCTCAGGTGCCCTGTTAAAGGTGAAGACTTTGCCCCGCAGGCCGCAGGGAGCAGTGGGGTGTTGAGCATGACCAGACGTATGTTGTGTGTGGCCGGACCCTCCAGCCCACCTGGCTTTCCTTTGGAGGGCACGAGGGGCTCATCTTTCCTAGCTCCTCCTTCCTTCCTCCCATCTGGCTTGCCTCTGTCCCTTCTCTGCAGTTGATCCTGAGGTCTGCAAAAACCACGTTCAGGAAGTTTCCGTCCCAGATCAGAGGTGGTACTGATTCCAGTCCCAGAGATTTCAGGGACAGGAAGGAAGGAGGGGTGCGGGCTGTAGAGTGCAGCAGGGCCCTGCCCCTCTGTGACCTGAATGGGGAGGAAAAGGAATGGGGCCCATTTCTCTATTCCTGCCCAACCTCTGATTGGCCCCCTGGAGTGCACAGTGAGTGCGCAGCTGGGAGAACTCCAGATATCGATGTTTTATTATTGCTAATAAATAATGTAAGTGCCCTACGCATCTGCGACATTTCATATTTGACAGTGCCCCTTCACGAATATGTCCTCGTTCTCTCTTCACTACAATTTCCAGAGCGGGCAGGGCAGACATTGTGCAGCGGCGGAACTGAAGCAGGGGCTACTCCAACTTGCCGAAGGTCGCCCAGGTGGGAAGTGGCTGGGTCGGGACTGCGTGACCCCGGAGCTGCCCCGACGGTCACGCCTCCTTCCTCCTCCCACAGGTGGTCGACCCCCCGGAGCCCGTGTACGGGAACGTAGAGAGGCAGCCCCTGCCCACTTCACCTGGCACCGCCTCGGTCCCCCGCCCCCCCGCATGGGAGAAGCACCTGGACGCGGGCAGCGGGCGCCCCTACGATTACAACCCAGACACGGGCGTGACCACCTGGGAGTCGCCCTTCGAGGCCTCTGAGGGCGCCGCCAGCCCACCACCTCTCCGGCCTCGGTGGGCAGCCGCGAGAGCCTCGAGACAGACTGGGGCCAGTACTGGGATGAGGAGAGCCGCAGGGTGTTCTTCTACAACCCGCTGACGGGCGAGGCCGTCTGGGAGGACGAGCCCGAGGACGAGCTGGAGGACATGCAGCCAGGCCTGAGCCCACTGGACCCCGGGACTGGAGGGTGAGGGGGCGGGGCCTGGCCGGGGGGCGGGGTGACTGAGGCCTCAGACCCCGCCTCCTGCCCCGCCCCCCGGGAATGAGGGTTAGGGGCGGGGCCTGGCCCGGGTGGGCGTGGTGACTCAGGCTTCAGGCCCCGCATCCTGCACCCCGCAGTCCCCAGGACTGCTACTGAGGGGCGTGGCCTGGTATGAAAGGGCGGGGCCCAGGGTCCCTACTGGCTCAGGGTCAGAGAGCCTCTGACTCCCTCTCCTGCTCCTTGCAGCCCCCTACCCCTGAAACGGACTACCCCGAGTCGCTGACCAGTTACCCCGAGGAGGACTATTCCCCCGTGGGCTCTTTGAGTGACCCTCGGCCCACCTCTCCGTTGGCCGCGCCCCCCGGCTGGTCTTGCCACGTGAGCCCCGAGGGCCAAACACTCTACACCAACCACTACACCCAAGAGCAGGTATGGGCAGCGGGCAGATGTGCCCGGACAGACCCCCGCCCCGTCCCCCCCTCCACTCTTCCACCTCGTCCTCACTAGTAGTTCCCCTTAACACCATAAGCCGCAGCTCCTGGGCCGGTAGCCTGCCCCTGACCCTCCAAACTCCTTGGGGCTGAATTGGGCTCTGGTACAGGGAAACTTTGCCTGCCTCCCATGAGGTGGGCTGAGAGTCCTTCCCACAGTGGGTGCGGTTGGAGGACCAACATGGGCACCCCTACTTCTACAACCCAGAAGACACCTCAGTTCAGTGGGAGCTGCCCCAGGTAACCAGCTGGGATAGGGAGAGCCTTGGGGAGAGAGGAGGGGATTATATATGACGTCGACTCTGTCCTCAGTTCCTGTCCCTGCCCCTCGAAGTTCCTGCAAATCCAACCAGGACAGTGAGACCCCAGCCCAGGCCAGCCCCCCTGAGGAGAAGGTAAGGGAAGGAGCTCATAGGCCCTGGCAGGACCCCTACAGAAGACACAGGGGCTTCCTGAAGGTTGTGCGGGACGGGACAGACTTGGGCATGTCTCCCCCACAGGCCCCAGCGACTAGCCTGGGCCTGGGTCTGGGTCATCCCCCACCCCCCAGGGATGCGTGACGTTGGGAACTGGGAGAAAATCTCTCCTCCGGGGCTGAGAACTGGCACCCCACCTGCACCAGCAGCAAGGAGGGTTCAGTGGTGACTCAGGCCCAGGCTGTAAGGAGTTGCTGGCTGCGGAGGAGACTAGCCTCTGCCCCCTTGTGGCCCAGCCCCTTAACTGCCTCCTCTTTCCCCTTGGCTTTCTGAGATCAAGACTCTGCACAAGGCCGGTGTGCTTCATCGCACCAAGACGGTGGACAAGGCGAAGCGGCTCCGGTAAGAGGCGGCTGCACCCAGACCACGGCAGAGTGGGCCTTAACGATGACATTTACCGAGCGCCTCCCGGCTCTTGTTAATCCTTATAGCAACTTGCTAAGAAGTCCCATGAGGACACCGAGGCACCTGGAGATAGTAACTTGCCCAGGGGCCCTTGGCTACCAAGTGTTAGAATTGAGAGTCCAGCCCTCACCCGTTGGATGGCCCAGGTTGAGCTGTGTTCTTAAGCTCTGTGCCCTGCTCCTGAGGGTGGAAGGGGGCCTCAGCTCAGGGCCAAATGCAAGCCTGGCCACCCCCACTTCCCCACCTCCACCTAGGAAGAAGCACTGGAGTGCCTCCTGGATGGTGCTGGAGGGTGGCGTCCTGACATTCTTCAAGGACTCGAAGGCCTCAGCTGCAGGCGCCCTGGTAAGGCCCAGGCTCCCAGGATAGGGACACTGCCTGCCCCCCACCCCCACCCCCATCTGCTCCTGACTGGTGCAGCTCTTTACTGGATCTGGCTTGTCAGAGGCTAGGTCTGCGATAGTGGATCATGAGTGCCAAGGGAGCCGGGCCTTGGCAGGGGGTGATGACAGTGGATTCAGCCCATGACAAGCATTTCCAGCCACCCTGGGCATGGGGAGTGGTCCTTGAGGGTGGCCACTCCAGCCTGGGAGGCAGGCAGACTGGGGACTGGGGCCCCTGCTCCCCGGGACGAGGGCTGTGCCTTTCCCTTTTCCTCTCCTGGATGGGCAGGCAGCAAAGGACCTGCGAGTCCAGGACCGCTGGGTTCCAGGAACCCTTGGATGCCCCTTCCCCATTCTGGCCCTTGAGCCAAGGGAGCCTGGTGGATTGGAGGCAGGGGCTGTGGCAGGCCTGTCTGAACTGAGGGCTCCCTGTAACTCTGCTTCCCCCAATGCTTCTCCCACAGAGGCAGCCTCCCAAGCTCTGTACCCCTGAGTACACAGTGGAGTTGAGGGGAGCCTCTCTCTCCTGGGCCCCCAACGAGAAATCTAGCAGGAAGAATGTGCTGGAGGTGAGTGGTGGGGGTTGGGAGGAGAGGGGGCTTACTGGTAGCTTGAGATCCTCACTAGGCGAGCCCCAAGAAGGGGAACCTGGGGAAAGCGGGACTGGAATTCTCAGGACTCAAAGCCAAAGTTGTGCCCACCTTGGGGATCTGTCCACAGTGTTTCTGGCATCATGGATTCTGCAGTTCCCTCTCCAGGAACCCAGCTACAATCACCAGAAGATGACCAACAATCCAGGGATGGAGGGGGCGAGACTACAAAAAATAGGAGGTGTTTTGAGTCTGTCACCATATATGCGAGTTCTTTCCTTGTGGCCTATGGGATGTGGGTCTTGTTAGCGAGGCATTTGTTGCCTTTATACTGTCTTCTTCTACTTATATTTGTTGTAATTTATATTTTTTAACCTGTATAGAATCTGTTTTGTTTTTAGGTATGGTTGAGGTAGGGGTTCTAACATTTCCCCCCTACAGAAAGATCCAGTTACTTTAAAATCTTTTATTGATGGTTCATTCTTTCTTAACAGATCTAAAATACTATTCTTTTTTTTTTGTAAGATTTTATTTATTCATGAGAACACACACAGAGAGAGACAGAGACATAGGCAGAGAGAAAAGCAGGCGCATCTCAGGGAGCCCAATGTGGGACTTGATCCCCAGACCCCGGTTCACCCTGTGAGTCAAAGGCAGATGCTCTACCACTCAGCCACCCAGGCGTCTCTAAAATACTTTTCTTTTTTTTTTTATCTATGATAGTCACAGAGAGAGAGAGAGAGAGAGAGAGAGAGAGAGAGAGAGAGAGAGGCAGAGACACAGGCAGAAGGAGAAGCAGGCCCCATGCACCGGGAGCCTGACGTGGGATTCGATCCCGGGTCTCCAGGATCGCGCCCCGGGCCAAAGGCAGGCGCCAAACCGCTGCGCCACCCAGGGATCCCTAAAATACTTTTCTTATCTGGACTCTTATCAGTCCAGTTTCCTTTCCCATATCACACTATATACTTAATTCCAATTGCTTTAAAATAACCTATATTGATGTCTGGCAGAGTTAAGCTCCTGCTCTTTGACCTCCTTTTTCATACATTTCATAGCTAGACTTGCATATCCCTTTACCATATGTCAGCTGGCCAGTTTTTATTAAAAAGAAAAAGAAAAACTATCTTGGGATTTGAATAGGATTGCATTGAGTTTGAGGAGAATTGACATCTTTGCAATATTCTAGGAAAATGGTGTCATCATATATTCATTTCTTAATGTCCTTCAGAAGAGTTTTAATGTTTTCATCTGAAAGGTCTTCCCCATTCTTTGATGTAAGTTTATTCCTAGGTACTTTTTGCCTTTTATTGATATTTTTAATTTTTTAAGGGTTTTATTTATTTATTCATGAGACACACAGAGAGAGAGGCAGAGACACAGGCAGAGGGAGAAGCAGGCTCCATGCAGGGAGCCCGATGTTGGAGTCGATCCCGGGATCCAGGAACACACCCTGGGCTGAAGGCAGGTGCTAAACCATTGAGCCACCGAGGTGTCCTTCCTTTTATTGATATTATAAATGGGACCATTCTTCCATTTGTTAATTAGTTATTTGTGGAACATAAGAAATGTACTGCATTTAGTATGTTGAGCTCTTGATTTTGTATCTAGCCATCTTACTGAATTCTCATATCACTTCCAGTAAAATTTATTTATTAATTTTTTAAATATTTTATTTATTCATGAGACACAGAGAGAGAAGAAGAGACACAGGCAGAGGGAGCATTAGGGTGCATTCAGGGACCCTGATGTGGGACTCGATCCCAGGACCCTGGGATCATGCCCAGAGCCAGAGGCAGGTGCTCAACTGCTGAGCAACCCAGGCTTCCCACTTCCAGTAAATTTAAGTTGATTCTCTTGGGCCTTTTAGGTTGTCCATAATTTCATATGCAAACATGTTTTGTTTCTTCCTTTCCAATACTCAATTTTTCCTATTGCATTGAGATGCCTGGAATCTTTAAGAGAATTTTTTCCTATTGCATTGATTAGGACCTCTTCAACATGATGAATAGTAACAGGAATAATAGGCATTCTACTCTTGTCCTAGACTTTAAAACAATGTTGCTATTTAGGTTTCTGGTAGCTACTTTTCTTTTCTTACTTCTAAGAATTTTTTTTAATTTTTATTTCTTTATGATAGTCACACACAGAGAGAGAGAGAGGCAGAGGAGGAAGCAAGCTCCATGCACGGGGAGCACGACGTGGGATTTGATCCCGGGTCTCCAGGATCGCGCCCTGGGCCAAAAGCAGGCACTAAACCGGTGTGCCACCCAGGGATCCCACTTCTAAGAATTTTTAATAGGAATTACCTGTTGGATGTCATCTAAAACAGTCAATAAAATGTATTGCCACCTGCACACAAGTTCCCAAGTTGGGACTATGGAAGAGTCAAAGGACTACTAAACAAACAGAATTCCTGCCCTCAAAAACGGCTGAATAAGACTTAAAATACAAAGGAATGACTACGGATTTGGAGGCATGGTCATTGAGATGGGTACCTGTGATATGATTTCTTCCAAAACAGATTTATTCTCATAGAGCAACACCAGTGGAAGATGAAGAAGGAGGCTCAAGGTAACTTGGCAATTATTAAAGCAGAATTTCAGAACTAGATTTTAGAACTCCTATTTCACTCCCCTTGTTTTACACCCAGGAAACTACCAAAGACAGAAAGAATATTGATTTGGTCTAATGCTTTGCCTGGATCCAGCCAAATTAGCTTCCCAGACAAATCTGAGTTAGAATGGAACTGACACAGAGCATCTACTGTCACTACTCCTTTAAAGAAAAAGGGTGGAGAGGGGTTGGGTGCACCTGTTCCTGCTGGTAGTGACCATCAGGCCTGGCTACAGAGTCTTGGGCTAAGACGGCTACTCTTCAAGGCTGATGGAAGGCAGAAAAATACGACTCCTTCCTGTAAAGTGGCAGGAAAACTTCCCTCCTCCTCCTAGTTTTTGATCCACCACTCTCCACTCCCTTTGTCCAGACTCCACAGACTGTTAACTGGGAGAGGCCTTAGGTAATAGTTTGTCTCTTCCTTTTATAATAAGGAAATGGAGAAGAAAGGGAAGGTAAATTGCCCCATGGGCATACTCCTACTGAGTGTCAGAAGATGGTCCCTTTCCAGAGGGGCACTTCTCCTCTGATTATACTGTTCTTGGGCTGCGAGCTAGATTTTATGTCACAACTCAGTACATATATACTGTCAAGACATAAGCAGGTTTTTAAAAATATTTTTTAATTTATTCATGAGAGACGCAGAGAGAGAAGCAGAGAGATAGAGTGATAAGCAGGCTCCTCTCATGGAGCCTAATGTGGAGTCGATCCCACGCACGCTCTGAGCCAAAGGCATTACTCAACTGCTGAGCCACCTGGGCGTCCCAACATAAGCAATTTCTAAGACAAACTTACTATACACTCTGACTTTTTCTATATTGTTTGTATTCAAAAATAATATTTTGTGTTTTACTGCTGGCTGTGACCTTTAAGCTGATTTCATGACTCATTCACTAATTAGCCACAGCCTGCAGTGAGAAAGTGAGTTAGGTAACTTTGTTGGTTGGACTCATGCATTTATTTGGTGTGAACAACTTGTAGGATAAAGCAGCTAGGAAAATAGAAACACCTCTCTCTCCTCCTCCCCAGCAAATGATGCCTATGAAACAAAGTCCAAAGGGGACCAAAGTAAACTGCTTCTGGAGAGAGTAAGGTGCTTCTGTGTTATACTTGCACAGTTTGTTCACTGCACGAGGGCACTCGGCCAAGGGCCCAGGTGAGCAGGATGAAAATCTTGCTTATACTCAATGCCAAGCCACATACAAAGGCCTCCCGAGAGAAATTGTGGGGCCATTATGGACAGACATGGGAAAATTCTGGAAGTCTAGCATGCATGGGATTATTTTCAGGATCCCGGGTCTGTAGTGATTTTGCTTCCTGTGATTATGGACTGAGATGTCCTAATAGGACCAGAGATACACATTGTGAGAGGCATGGGAAATGGCGTGAATCACTAACTGTCTCATATGTGTTTCCTCCAAGGCTCTTGTTTCATTCTCTGCTGCATAAGAGACGCTCTATCGAACATGAGAGTCGGGTAAATGTGAGGAAGTTAAAGTCCCATGGCTGGAGAGAGCAGGGGAAATGCAGAATTAACAATGTCCTTTCTGTTTTCTAGGAGGGCTTTTTCTGGAGAAGGCGGCCACTTTGGCATCGGGACATGTACAGACCTCTCAATGCCACACGGAAGAAAAACATGGCACAGAAGCTACAGGAAAGGGATTCTTCTGATGAGGATGAGGTTTTCAACAAGGGACCAGGGTACCTGATTGGGGACAATTTATACTTCTTTTCTAAAATGAGTTAATTATGAAAAGTTTAATTGTTCCTTTACAGAGTTAAAGGCATTCTTCTTCTTTTTTGCAGAGAGAAAGGTGATGCCCCAGCAGAGAAGCCTCAGGCTGCAGATTCAGCTGCTGAACACCTGGGTGAGGAGAGCAACAGTGAACTCCACACTGTCATCGTCCTCAAGTGACCTTGTCCTGCCTCAGGCTGTCTATAAAGCTTATTTTCATTTTCTTTTTATTAATAAATTATTTGTTATTGGTGTTCAGTTTGCCAACATATAGAATAACACCCAGTGCTCATCCCATCAAGTGCCCCCATCAGTGCCCATCACCCAGTCGCCCCCACACCTCGGCCCCCTCCGCTTCCACCACCCCTAGTTCATTTCCCAGAGTTAGGAGTCTCTTATGTTCTGTCTCCCTTTCTGATATTTCCCACTCATTTTTCTCCTTTCCCCTTATTTCCCTTTCACTATTTTTTATATTCCCCAAATGAATGAGAACATATAATGTTTGTCCTTCTCCGATTGACTTATTTCACTCAGCATAATATCCTCCAGTTCCATCCACATCGAAGCAAATCGTGGGTATTTGTCGTTTCTAATGGCTGAGTAATATTCCATTGTATACATAGACCACATCTTCTTTATCCATTCATCTTTCGATGGACATGGACACCGAGGCTCCTTCCGCACTTTGGCTATTGTGGACATTGATGCTAGAAACATCGTGGTGCAGGTGTCCTGATGTTTCATTGCATCTGTATCTTTGGGGTAAATCCCCAGCAGTGCAATTGCTGGTTCGTAGGGCGATCGATTTTTAACTCTTTGAGGATCCAGAGTGGCTGTACTGAGAAAACATAGTCCCCATTCAAAAGGGCTGCCAGAGGAAACGGTGCCCATTGGGAAACAGAGGTTCCAAAAATGTGGCCTTGTGGGGATACCTTGGTGGCTCAGTGGTTGAGCGCCTGCCTTCGTCCCAAGGCATGATCCTGGAGTCCTGGGATCGAGTCTCGCATCGGGCTCCCTGCATGAAGCCTGCTTCTCCCTCTGCCTGTGTCTCTACCTCTCTCTGTGTGTGTCTCATGAATAAATAAATAGCATCTTTTTTTAAAAAATGTGGCCTTTGGACCTCTAAACTCAAACATCCTTGGGATGCTTATTTAAAAGGCTGATCCTGAAAAATAAGCAAATTAATTTTAAAAGCTGATCCTGCACATCTCCCCTGTCGAAAACAAACCAAACCAGGCACTACTTAAAGTGGTCCAGACAGATTTCCATAGTAATAGAATATTGTAGTGGCACAGGGAAAAGGGTTCATCGTGAACGGAACTCAACTGGGGTAAGTACAGAGGTGACTGAGTATTGCACAGGGAAATTGAGGGACTAGGGAAGGGAATGAGTAGGGGCTCCATAGTCAGAAGTGAGAGATTACAACAGGCAGGAAGGGGGTTAGCCCATATGGAACCATCTGGATTTGCTAACTGGCCCTTACCAAGGCTAGACTCCTACTCTCTCACAGAAGCTGGGAAACAGGGGCCCTATCTTCAGGTGGTGGCTGGAATAAGCAGCAAATTCTTTAGACAGCCTTGAGTTCACGGGCAGGCACTTTAAGGGAGACTGGGGTCTTACTAGGGCAGTGGTCAGGAGCTGCTGAAAACTCCATTGGCCTCTGTTCAAGCCTTCACAGGCCTCAGGACCGTTGGCCCCGCCCCGCGGCTCCCCCCGCCCCGCCATTGGCTGCGCGGGCCGGGGGCGGGGCCGAGCGCCCAAGCGCGGGGATGGCGTCAGGCGCCGCCAGCGCAGTTTCCGGGTGTCGGTGGCGGAGAGGCCGGAGCGTCGGGTCAGAGGCGCAGAGGCTGCAGCGGCCAGGAGCGACCCCCGCCCCCTCCCCGCTCGCCCTGGTGAGTCCGGGGTCAGGGGGGAGGGGGGGAGGGGCGGCGGGGTCGAGATGCGAGCGGGCGGCGGGCGCCTTCCGTGGTCCCACGCCCCTGGTTGCCTTTGCGCTGTCCCGCTTCAGAACCCTTTGCCTTCCCGGTTCTAAGCCCCGCACCCTACCCCCCTCGGAGCCGAGCCTTCAGCCCGCACAGCCCCTGCTGACCGCCCCCTCCATCTTCTCCCGACGGGGACCCGGGGACCCGAGCCCAGCACGTACCCCCACCCCTCACCTCTGTGTTGTGTAAATGCAGCCACACTCTTGACCCCCTGCTAGTCCAGTTCCAACCCCGAGCGCAGACACATCCCTCCTCCGCCCTCTGAAGCGTCACACCCTCACCCCTCAACCCCTGTGGCAATCCCGGTGCTCCACGCCAACCTCCTCTGAGCCCCACCGCCATGGCTTTCCCCTTTTCCGACTCAGCTTTCTTATCCCAGTCCCCGAAGGTCTGCTCAGCCCTACCACCCCACCTCCACCCACCCTTATTCAATGCCTGCCATCCAGCGGATGCCCTGCTGAGCTCACCCCCTTCTTGATAGCTCTGATCTCAGCCCTATCCCAAGTCTTCTATGTATCTTCTTGTCCACACCGACTCAACCCCTCACTTCCCAGCCATCCTGAGAACACTTCATCTTTGCTAAACTGCGCCCGACTCTTGCCGCCCCAGTTCCTACCACCCCAACCCAATCTTCTTAAAATGAGGCCTCCATGCCCCCATCTCTTCCTCTCAGCTCTGTGTCCATTCTTCCCTTAATGCGGTCCCCATCTGATCTGAAGACTTAGTGCAGTCTCTTGCCAGCCCCACCTGCTGCCCCCCAACAGCCAATCCAGGTGCTTTTTCAGAGCCGGGTAGTTACTGAGCAGCTCGATTGGTACAGGGCCTCAGATGGTAAGTAAGTGTGGAGGAGTAGAGATCTATGTCCTGTGGTTCAAGAGGTTTTCCTGAATGTCTCCTCTCCTGTACCTGTCCTCAAGGATTGTGTTTCTAGCATTCATATTATGTTACTTGTGTTGGCTGCTGCAGTGGTACCTTGTCATCCAAATATCTGGAAGGTGAGGGATGGCTACTCATTCAGCCTGGGACAGTGGAAGCTTATCACTTCCTTTTGGACGATAATCTGTAGAAACTCAGGGGGTTGCACTATGTGGGGTTGGCTGTGGTCACAGACCCATGCCCATGAAGGTTTTCCTGGCATTTAGAGACGACCCTCACCCGGGGCTCCTCCCAGCCAGAGCTGATTGCAAGTTAGTCCCAGTACTGAACACAGGGAACACAGTACTAGACGTGATGTTACATGTTGTGAAGAGTGTAGGTGAGTGGATCCTGGGGAAGCTGATGGCTAGGTGGCTTTGGAGGTTTTTGAATTGCTTCCTCTTTTTGTAGGTGCTGGATCGTTGAGTTTTGACCATTTTGATTGCCCTTGAACTGAGAGAGCCAAGTTCCTCTAGAGTAGCTAGACATTCTTGAGGCACCCAGGCCCATTTGTTAACATTTATAATTTATAATTTCCTTGGGGTTTTGGATACACATCCCCTGTAAGTTCTGGTGACCAGGCCCCAAGGGATTGGCTGTTTGACAGTAATTGTAAAGGGCCCCAAAGAGGACCCATTGTCTTTGCTTGCCATTTATAGTCTCACTTCTTTGAAAATTGAATGCCTGTCTACCTTCACTATCCCTCCGTAAAGGTGTCTATCTTCTTCCCTTTCTTCTGCTTCCTGATCTCCCTCTCTCCTCCATCTCCCTCCTCCTTAAGCTCAACCCCCCCCAAAAAAAACCCCTCTTCTAAAAACCTAAAAACCTAAAACCCTCTTCTTCCTGTTTGAAGGGCTATGTCTGGCTTTTGTGGAAAGCAGATTCAACATATCGAAGGGAAATAAAAATGGAATCGGCAGCTTCGACTACGGCATCTTCCAGATCTACAGGCATTTCTGCTGCAAGGATTACTGGAGTCACTCAGAAAACATTTGCCACGAGGACTGTCAAGGTCTGGCCAGGGCCTCAGGGTGGGAAAGCTCTACTCACAGGACTTCTCTTCCTATTCAAAGTCTGGGAGTGTCCCCAGACGGACTGCCCATGGAGTCCAGAAATGTTTTTGCTGAGCAGAGGACTTGACAAGTGGCTGTAGTGCCCATCCACTTAGCAGATTCTTTGGTGTACAGGATCTAGAAAAGCTCTGCATAGTTAATAGCAGAGCAGGAGCAACAGCAGCAGCCAACATTTCTTGAGAGTGTGTCCTATACTAAGCACTTTACCTGCAGAGCCCATTTCACCCAGCGTTTCATGTGATGGAAACTATTATGATGCCCACTTTACAGATGAGCAAACTGAGGCTCATAGAACCAGTGCCGAATACCAGGCTGGTGGCCCTGAAGGCTCCACTCTAACCATCAAGTAATAACTTTGGCCAATGTCTGATTAAAGGCCAAGTGCAAACTGCCGACCTCAGAGCCGCTCCAGGAGGCTCCATAGTCCATGACTTGGACCTTCTCTCCTCTTTCATACTCTGATTCACATCCCTAGACTCTTCATCTGAAGAGCTTCCCTGATCAGGCAAGATTTACCTTGATCTCTATACTGCCGGTTTTGACATCTCCTTTCCCTAGAAACCCTCAAACGTGGCATGAACTACCATCTACCCTGACTAGGAAGTATGGGGGTAAACAGTTGTCCTGTCCCTCCTGCCCCCACCCCCGGCCACTCCCTGTCGCCATTGTGGGGATGTCTAAATAGGCCTCTGGGAGGGAGGCTTTGCCTAATCTGGAAATACTCAGCCCCTGGGGGGTACATGCCAGCGCAGGGGCAAGCCCAGCGAGCTGGAGCAAGCCTTGTCTGCCTCAGTCTTAGTCCTCTGTTGTCACAGGTTCTCTCTCTCTCTCTCTCTCTCTCTCTCTCTCTCTCTCTCTCTTCCTTCCAGACATACTGAGCCCCAATCTTCTCTCAGCCATCAGCTGTGCAAAAAAGATTGTGTCTGGAGCAGGGGGTATGAAGAACTGGTGGGGAGGACACTGTGGGACTAGGGTAGCAGCCAGAGCCCTGGGAAGGTTGTAGTGACAGAGAAAGGCACAGTAGGCAAGGACTAGACCCTTTTATAGCCTAGAAAAATGTGGGAGAGTGGCAGGGCTTGGAACTCTGACTTACAATACCCAGGACCTGGGTCTTTTTCTGATGTACTAAAATGATTTTAGAAGGGGGCGTTTGGGTGGCTCAGTCAGTTGAGGGTCCAACTCTTGATTTCCACTCAGGTCATGATCTCACAGTCATGGATCAAGCCCTGAGTCAGGCTCCACATTCAGCACAGTTGTGCTTGGGATTTCCCCTCTCCCTCTGATCCTCACCCGTTAGGGCTGTGTCATTCTCTCTCTCTCTCTCTCTCTCTCTCTCTCTCTCTCTCTCAAAATAAATAAATAAACAAATAAATATTTGGGCGCCTCGGTGGCTCAGTGGTTGATCATCTGCCTTCAGCTCAGGTGGTGATCCCCAGGGCCTGGGATCGAATCCCACATCAGGCAGCCTGCTTGTCCCTCTGCCCATGTCCCTGTCTCTCTCTGTGTGTCTCACATGAATAAATAAAATCTTTAAAAAAATAGATCTTTAAAAAAATAAATAAATAAAACTCTTTTGATGCAGTAACAAAGTAACTCGAGTGAGTAGAGGGAGCTGTATCCTGAGGGCACAAGGTGTCTCCCTGAGCTTACACAGGTGTGGCTAGACCTCAGGAAGGTAGTGGAAGCAGAGCTGGAAAGTGTCAGCCAGCTTTTCCTGGCAAGTTTCTGCCTCCTGGTCCATTTGCGTCACTACTTTCTTGGTAGAGAGCAGCATTCTCTCCTCCACATTTCACAGCACACAGTCTGGCTGCCCCAAGTGGATGGGCTAATGTCCTGAGCAGCAACAGAGACTGTCTAGGCTTAGTCCCTGTCCAAGTACCTGGGATAAAGAACCTGATTGGTTCAGTTTGGATGCTGATCCCTGCTTGGTTCCATCAGCTGGAGGCCTGGGAGCAATTGAGCTATACCATCACGGTTGCCACAGGGTCCCCTCTTGCTAATTGGCAGCAACATTTTCTGTAAATGTAAATGCTC